CCTCCAGGAAAGCAGCACTGTGAACAACCATCAACCACTGAATTGCTAATTTTCAAAGCCACCCCTGACCTCATTCAAGCTCACAGGGTACAGAGCCAGGGTTATCAACTATCCCACTGCTAATTCCACACTCCTGTCCCCCCATAAATGCACAGTCATCCAAACAGAAACAACCAATCATTCAATTCAAACCTCACATAAAGCAACCTTACCATTACTGGCTTGCCCTGAAAGGTTTTCACTTCTTCCCTTAAGTATTTAAATGCCTGCAGACATAAAAAAATATTCACATCAGAATATCTCAAAAAAGTGATACTTTTCAAAGGATATTACACGGTTTAACTTGAGTGTTTAGCAGTGTGCTCCCTTGTGAGCCCAGCTAAATCCATCATCACTTCAAGTTCAGCACCCCCCTGGCAGCTGTGGCTGGAGGGTGCTGAGGCAAAGAAGGGAACTGTAACCCCAGCATCTCTCAGCTTTTTCTCTCTAACTAGAATATGCCAACAGGCTCTTAAAATTTAAAAAAAAAAAAAAAAGGAGGGGGGGATCAATAAATAAGTGTTAGTTTTTGCTGCAGACAACATGAGTCTTGAGCAAGGGAAATATTCCTACCAGAAGTGAGGTGCAACAGCTGGGGCAGCCTTACCTGCTGCGCATCCGTGTCCGACTGGAATGTGACGTACCAGTTGTTGTTGTGAGCAAACTCACAGCTTATCACTTTGGGGCAGTTCTCATTTTTGAACAGAGCCTTCACCTCCTGGGGGAGAAGAAGTCAGGCAGTTAAAGGGACCAAGCTCTAAGCTGGGAATTGAACATTCTATCAACTGAAGTTGACACTCCAGCTCCTCAGCTGTGCATTTCCCTGGACCACAGATGACCTTTTACTTCCCAACAGGTCTGCCAGATACCAAGTTACCCTTTTCTAGCCCAGGAACACCAGCCCAATCTCCTGAGCTCTCCAGATAAAACATGTCAGGCCCATCTGATAAGAATATCAAGATCAGGGTAGAACTGGTGACATTGCTACATGGAACAGTATCAGGAGAGTCATCAGGACAAGAACAAGTCTAAGAAATATTTCTAAGTCAAGGCAACTTGACAGCTTTGCAATAATCAGATTTTAAAGAGAGAGCAAAGCAGCTGTTCAACATTTGCTCTAAAAGAACTAATTAAAAATGCTAGAACTAATTAAAAATTGCTTGACAAGCACCCTGTGTTACAACTCTAAAAAACAAAGAACTAAATCATTCTGTTAGCCAAATATCAGTAGGAATTTTATTATCTCCCCTTCTCTGAACATAATGAGCTCAGCTCACACTGGGTCACAATGAATGAGAAATGTTTAGTAACTTTTCTTGCTGCCAAAACAACACTCTGACTTCAAGTAAAGTTACTGCTGTGACAAAAATTCAGCCTGAATTCCAATCTATGCCCTAGACTGAGCTTACTTTTTGGATCTAAAGAGACCAGTTCAAACTTCCTTGCAGAAAGGCCCAGATAGCCCAATTTTTGGTGGGAAAAGAGTTCATTTAAGAGCATTTTAATACTGGGAAGAGACAACATGACAGGTTCCTGCTTTGGCTTTTCTGACAACACAACCAGGCAGAAAAAAATCACTCATGTGGTTTCCAAGAAAAATATCCCTGTTTAATCTCATTAAATACCAGTTCACCTTTTAAGCAGTAGTTCCTAATGCTGTTGGAAGAACTGATGAAGATACCTTCCAAAAAAACATCAACAGGCTTTCACTCCTTCCTGACCTTCCTGTTCATTTACCTCTATGGGGGTTGTTTCAGGGATCTCACGCAGGATGATGATGCAGCGCTTGTGGTTCGGTCTGACCTTCTCCCCCCTCTCATCCACTTGTACCATGGGAGAAGCTAAGATGAAAACATCAAAGTTGGCTTTAGCACTGGACACCATGCAAGGAAGAATTCCTTATCCTACTCACACAGCATCCAAACCCCCAGACTTACATCTCAAGACTTCCAGAATAAGGTCCATATCGGTTGTCAGCTTCTTGATGCCTTCCATGTTGGCAATTGTCCATATTGGAACAAACTGATCACTGTCCATTTGAGACATCAAGTAGAGATCCTTCGAAAGATTCTCACTAAAAAGACACAAGTTGACCATGTGATAAAAATCCTGAGCTTTACTCCCACAACAAGAGAGCTACATGCTCAACTATTCACCAACACCATTCCCAGCCCACTCCAGCCAAAACCAACTCAGATTTTCTCTCCTGAAGAAACTCCAGGCAGATCAACAGAAAGCAGAATAACTAAAAGAAGAAAAAACTCAATAGAAGTCACAGTCCCCTGAACGATAGTGGGAAAAAGGTCTTGCCAGAGAGACCTCTTCTGGTAAGACACAGCTAAATGATCTCAACATCTGACAACAGGAGGCACAGGAGTCACACTCAGTTCTCATTAAAGGACCAGGAAGCAGGGACAGGACTGGAAGAGCTGAGAGGTACCACAGGGTTCCTACAGATCATTTCACAACCAACTCTCTCACTCACATTTAACATGTTTATGGAGATGACAGCACATGTCAAGCCAAAAAAGGGAGGAAATTGTCAATGACTTTAATAGAGGGTTTAGACAAAGTTGAATGAACTGAACTGTACCGTGAGAAGCAGAATTCAAGCTGTTTTTTCAAACATTCTCTAATGTCTTCTGTGGACACAGTGGAGCTGCCTTCACCTGGAAGTTACCACAGGCACCATCAATCTCAGTTTCACAGCATGAACACAAAGCAAGAGGAGGTTCCGTTGTACAACAACAAAATTGATCCTTCTGGGTAAGCCCAAGAGGGTCATGAGAGGTGCTTAAAGACCACCATGGGACACCTTCTCCAAATGAGTGAGGCCTCATGGTTCCCACCTCTCTGGCCAAGTGCTTGGATGGCTTGGACCTTCTAGAATACACATGGAATGGGACACTGAAGAGTTCCTACCCAGGAATTACATGTCATACCAGAACTGTAGCAGACCCTGGAGGATTACAGGTACCGACAGCAGGATCTAACCTGAATACTCACCAGACACTTCATAGATTTGGTATCCAAGATCTTCAGTTGCCAGGACAATCCCATTTGCAGATGCCTCATCAACTCCTGTGCCATTCCTGGTGGCTTCACAAGTCGGGGAATACATGACCTCATACTGCTTGCAGCTGTCCTCTGAAATCTCTATGGTACCTGGGAAACAACCACATCACCAACAGAAATCCTAATGTAAGCTTCAGAATATTTTCCATTTGAAAAATGTTGGTCACCAACATTAAAAAACAAATGCTTCAGAATTTGAGAACTCAATTTTGGCTTGGTATCAACTTCAAGTCAAATCAGAAGAGTTAAACCACTTGAATATTTCAGTCTGGATGACAAGATTGACTGACTTATGGTCAGAACATGGACCAAACTGCAAGGCAGTGGCCCCAGATGCACTGCGGTCTCTAGTCCAGCACAAAGGCTGCTCAGCAGCACCTCACTGATCTATGAGGATTGTAGGTGGCCCTCAGACCTTATCTTCCTGTTCACAGGGTCAAGTGTATACTAAAGTGCAGCAATGGTGAACAAGACAAGTCCTGAATCCATTTCTACACTTTTAGCACCTTGTTTCCCTCTTAGCGCGTTACTTGGTCATCACCGGGCCCCTCGGATCCTGCTCCTGCTGCAGGGAACCCCTGCTCACCACTCAGACCCATCATCTCCACACACTCTTGACAACAACCTCCAGAGCAAGAGGCTGCTTCTCCCTCAACTCTTCCAGAGAACCCCTGTGCCCCCAGCAGGGAGGGATCCCACCCCAACCCCATGACTTCTCACCGTCGGTGGGAGCCCCTGTTGCAGCCGCCGTGTCCTGCCACGAGTGCTCTGTGCCATTTGTGGGGGGCACAGCCTCACCACCCCCCTGGGGCACTTCTTGCCACACTTTAGCGTTAGGGTTTAAGCCAGCACCTTTCGATGTCACCTGCTGAAGAGACCAGAACAATCCTATTAGGGAAAGAAGAACCCAAAGACGCTTTAGAAGTCAAGCCAGACAATAAAGTTCAATTTAGTGATTTTCTAGAGAGTTCCACATCTCAAGTGTCTAACCCACTATTAAGCACCTAAGTGATTGTTCATTAATCAAAAGAGGAAAATCCTTGGTATTTTCCAAGTATTTCATTTCTACCTCCATTGGAAGTGTTGCCTCCAACCTCTCTTTATTGACATCCGACAACATCAGCGGAGGGAGCGGCTACCGGGAAGGACTCTGGGCACTCACAAGCTTTTAAAGACTTGACTGTCATTATGCTCCAGTCCCCTCTCACCAGGAAGGGAAATTCTCCCTCCTCCAGACCCCTTCCTAGAAAGGAAGGTAAAAAAACACATTTCAAGGAGAAGAAACTAATGACTTTGGTTTCCCCGTGAGTTTAACGACATCTTATAGACTCACACTAATGATTCCCTTTAACCTGTAACTGAGGAGATTAAAGTTTGTGAAGTGCCAAGACAAACGTGCCCACCACCAGAGCCTGCTGGGTGGGGGGAGCAGCAGCTTCTCACTTTGAGACTGGGCAACAAGGACCAAAATTAAAGAGGGTAAACAGGGGAAAGCTGCTGGATCTTAACTTGGAACCTGACAAACACAGCACCACTTTTGAACAGAAGAGGGCACCCTCTCCAAGGGCCCTTTTCTGAGAGCTGCTCAGAAGCTCAAAAGTGGGGAGTCCAACAACCCAAGAACAGCACAGAGGAGAAGCACTGTGAGGGCTTTCACTCCACAATGACAAATTCAACTCCTTCCACCCAGATGAGAAAACCACACTTGGGCAAGAACCCTCCTCCCAAGAGCTCCCCACAACTTCTAAGCAACTAAGAGAGCTTCCTCTAAACAGGTCACCTCAGACACCGAACACAAGTCCACCTCACTCACGCCCGTTTGCTTGAATTTTAAAGGCAAAAAGTAATTCATCCCAGCTTCTATCTCACAAGCAAGGAAGTCTGATATTCCAGAGGCCAGCCCCCTGGGTCCTGAAGCTGAGGAGTGGCTTACACCAGGCTTCAAACAAAGTGAAAGGATAAGGAAGCAGTTGCAATAGCTTTAGAGATAATTCTTCTGCCAAGGTCACACCTTGTTCCAAAGCTGTTTGCCACAAGGACAAGCCCAAATACAGTAACAAAAAGCCTCCAAACACTGGAGAGGTTCAATCCAGTCACAAGAGAAGGCAAAACAAAGATCACTACTTTTGCAAGGTCCTCTGGGATTCAAAACACCCCAAGCACAACTGATTCCATCCCCCCAGCAACAGAAATTTTCCCCCTTTTCTTAATCTTACCAGAATAATATAGAAACAGAAAGAAGAACTAGAAACAGTTCAGTGTGAAAGGACACGTGTACATTTCCCTTCTTGGTTTCCAGAGTAGTTGTTCTGCAACAAAACCTTAGAAGAAAAAAACAGTAACCTGTTGCACTCACAAACTTTCACTGTCAATATAGTTCATAGAGTTCAAAACTCAAACCCAGCTCAGCTGCTGCTCACTCCTGTGACCAGCAAGGGCACCTGCTCCAGAGCTAGTCCCATTTCCCTGAATTTAGTTTTCATCAAAGCAAAAAAGAAGGACACGTCCAGGATGATTCATTATTTTACAAAAATAAACCCTGCCTTATGCTTGTGAGGTCAGCCTGAACTCAAGCTGAAAGTAATTTTAAGGAATAGGTATGATAAAGTGAAACTGAAACACCTCGGGGGGATTATTACTGCACTTCTGAGGTGATCAGGAGTAAGAAGTAACTCTGGGTATGGCAGATGATGTTCCTGACTCGAGCAAACACAATGTCACATGTGGTGACACGGAGCTCAGAGATGACAGGGGAAGGTGCTCAGAAACTGAAGATATTCCAGCTGATAAGGGATGAATGGAGCCATTAATACAAGAGCTGAAACACCTGAACCAACTTGGGCTCCTTCCTCGTTCCTTTAGAAAAACTCCATGACACCTCTGCAAGACCCAGCCCTGATGTTGTGCATCTTAAAAGCAGGACACCAGGGACACAGAGCAGATCAAAAGTCTCTAATTTACATAAGGTCCGTGCTTCAGGAGCAGACCCACACTGTCCTGGCAAGCAGCTCTCCTGGAGAGAAGGCCAAAATAGCAATTCTTGCTTATTTAACTGAGGCTGAGGAACACTGAGCAGTTTGATTGGCTGCAGGACACTCCTCCCAGCTGCTATCGGGAACTTTCATGATGAGGTTAAAGCTTTACAGAGTGACAAAGGTTGGGAGCACTCGCTGGTCTCCACCAGCTGACAAAGCTGCCCCCTCAGCAGAGCTTCCCTCCAGCTCACGTTTCTCCCAGTGGATCAAAGATTCTCCTCCAGCAATTCCTCAAAAATTGACAATTGAAGCATCCATCTCATTTTGACGGGATGGCAAAGAGTATTTTTCTTATTCAAACTTTCACATTTAACAGATTTCATTAAGCCAACAAAAGTCTCATTCTTTTAAAGCTCTGTTTTAATAGCAATTCAATAGCAAGCAAAATCTCCACACTGAGCTTCTGACAGATTTCCCAGAGGAGACTGACTCTAGAAGTGAAAAAAATCTAAAGAGAACTGAATAAAACTTGTGAGGGGAGAAGATAAATATTTTCCAGAAGTGGAAATGTAAGTAAAAGGGGAAAAACCCAAAGGTCAGCAAAGCTATGGCAGGGGGAGGCTGCAGAAAGAAGCCTTGTGCTGGCTGGGGTCACAAAATGGGGGGAACAGGCAGCTGCAGGGGGCTGGGACCCCCACCAGCATCCTTACCTGTCACCTGCTCCCAGCTCAGCCAGGCTGGGAAGCCAACCAAAGCAGCAAGGAAGCTGGTGTCAGCCCCAAAACACCAGGCAGGACTCCTCTGAATCCTGCTGCAAGGTATCACCTAACAGCAGCCCAGGTAACTCTTGAAACACAAATTAACTTTAATGATCACCAGAGAGCTCCTTCCTCAGCATGTTTCTTTTATCAGCCAGTGAAAAGCTCCTCAGGACTAGGGGATGCTCCTTCAGCCTTTGGAAGGAAGGTGGCACCTCCATCCCTTGTGTCAGTGGTGTCCCCCAGTGTGCTGTGAGCAGGGACCCTCTGGTTTGTCACCAGAGGGGAGCATGAACCCTCACTTGCTGAGAAGGACACAGCAACACTCAGTGCTCACAGTCCTCCTCATCTAGCTAGAAAACACCACTGGCCACAGCCAGGACAGTGTGTCACCCACCTGACATGCAGAGATTTCCACTTTTCCAATAAATGACTAATATATTGAATCAGAAACATGTACCCAACTGAACAAAGCAGGCACAACAACCTGTTCTCAATCACATTTTCACACCACATTTAACTATCTTCCCAAAGCACCTCAATTAGCCATCATTAACAGCATGTTGGTCCTGGCTGCAAGTGAAGAACCACCTACTCTAAATATTAATGCATGAAAAACAGCATAAGCCTCCTGACTGCAGCAGGTTTTTGGAGCTAAAAGATACTAAAGGAAAACACAATTCCACTGTGAAGGAATCAACTTGCAATACTCAGCACAAGCACCTTTCAAGCAGTCAAAGCAAGTCAGTGGATCCTCCTGAAAACTTCAGGGCTTCTCACACACCTGGTTCTGTACCTTATTTTTCAGGCAACCCCAAAGATCCTGAGGTAAAAGCTGCTCTCAAGACTGCAGGGTTTCAGAACTACTGGTCAAGAGCTTGAGTTCCCTGTCCTGGCAGCAAAAAGGCACTTCCAGAAGGTTTGGATTGTCCTCAGGAACACAAAATTCAACATTATTGATGCCTCCTGAATGAAGAGCACAGAAACCCCCAGCACTACCAGTAGGACAGAAAGAAGGAGATCAAACAAAGCTGCTCAAGTCAGGCAGGTCTGTCCTCCTGAAGGATTCCCTGCACCCCCATCCCTGGCTCCCAGGCTCCTGACCTGCTACAGCCCAACCCTGCAGAACCCAGTCTTTAGGTCTTCAGATCCGTGTTGCAAACATCCTTTTTCCCCTCTCGGTGCAAATTTAACATCCACCTCCGAAAAACCGAGGCAAGGAAAAGAAAATCTTTCCCAACCCTTTTCATTTAGAGGCTTTCAGCAGCAGAACACAGGCCGGTATTGAGGTGAAGCCCCCACCCCCCTGCCTGAACAGCACACAGGGCTGCCAACCCCTTCCCCC